TATTCTATAGTTCTATAATTAGAGCTCAGTCTTTTGTTGAGCTTGTACCCCTGGACTGTGAACTTAATTGCCCTCCCTCCCACCTCCTCAGTTAGAACAGGACGGCTCTAGCAGGCTAGTGTTGGGAATTCCCTTCCTCCAGGTCAGCTAGGCTCTGACAATACCCCAGCAGGTGAGGTTCTGGTTAAAGAGTTTCTTGTGAAGTCAGGCCTTTGTGAAGAAAGGCAGAATGCTCTGCTGTATTTCAGAATTGTTCCTTTTACCTCCCCCTGCTTCAAGCATGAGGGGATTTGTCTCCGATATTCACTTTGAGGACCTGGTAGAGCTCCTTGAAATAAAATTCCCATGTGACTGGGTCCCTTAGAGTTTTAAATGTTCAGACTTGTCTACATTGAACCTCCAGCAAGATGTCAAACATAGTTTTAGGTTTTCTTACCTAGCACTGGTTCCCACACAGGTTTCTGCTCTGGCAAGTTGTGATCCTCTTTATCCACCGGTCAGTCTTGCCAACTTGAAGGGCAGTGGTTTCGCCCTGTGACCTCACATCTATGATGGATCAAAGAAAAGTTGTTGATTTTTCAGTTTGTTCAGTTTTTACTTGTTAGGACAAACTATAGACTTGAAAGCTCCTTACATGCCAGACCACAAACCCCACCATTTTATTTTTGCAGACAACTTTATGGTATTTCAGAAAGATATCTAGTTAAGGCTGCAAAGTATAAAGGTATTTGGAGACACACTGCACAGTTACCTACCCAGGGCATGAAGAGGTCTCAGACAAAGAGCTTTTTCATGAACAGAGTCCCATGGGGAAGTCAAAGTCACTTCGTTTTTGTTTTTCTAAATTCATCTACACGATTAGCTAGTCACTCCCCCTGGCCTGTGGGCCACCATTAGCAGTAGTTACAAAGGGACATAGTAGCCTAATAGGTAAGACTGCTTTTGCTATAACTTCCATGTCACCAAGATAATAGTTTTTTTAAAAAAGGGCCCCTGAATCCAGGGTCTTCATGAAAAACCTCCATCCTTCCATCCTGCAAAATTTCCAAACTTACATCCTTTATCTACCTTTTTGGTGTTGATATTGTTATGCCCTTTCCACTGTAACTATCAAACGTTATCCCCTTGACCCTGATAACTCTAATTTCCAAGAACCCTATCACACTGTGAGCTGAATTAAACTCTCCTGCATTCATCACCCACACTCATTCCCTGCTTCCTTCTATATTTTTCTCAATAGCACCATTTGCATTATCAGTTGACATCATATATATTTATCTTCCTCCCCCAATAGAATGTAAGCTCAATGAGGTCATTAACTATAACTCTTTGGATAACTGTTGTCCCCAGAGCTGAAAACAGGGCCTGACATATAGTAGGTTTGCATATACTTACTGAATGAATGATTCCCTCTCAAGGGAAAAGAAATTTTCAATTAAATTGACTCTATGTCTAGGTCATCAATCAGTTTAGGTAGTTGTGTGTTTTTGGGTTTTTTTTGGCCTAAAGACACATTTTATTTGGCTTATTAAAAAGTGTTGTTGTTTAAGATATAACTTACATCCAGTCAAATGTACAAATAACCACCTTTCAATTAACGCTCTCTCATATCCCCCCAACCACTCCATCTTTCCACAAGATTACTTGCATAGTTCATCTTTTTTTTTAATATCTCAAGAAAAACGATTTTAAGTATGATAATGTTACATGCAATAAACACCAATTTTTCAAGAAAAATAATCTTACATATAATAATATTATATGCAATATCATTTATATTTCAAGAATAAGGGATTTTAAGTATAATCATATTACCAAAACTCTACTAACTTAGTATGATATCACAAAAGTTGTTGGAAATATTAAAAATCTGCAAATAACAGGATTACTTCTATTATATTCTAGAATATTTTCCCCCCCCGGCTCTATTTTTGTTCATCAGTTTATGTTGTTCATTATAATCCACAAATGAGTGAGATCATATGATATTTATTTTTCTCCAACTGGCTTATTTCACTTAGGATAACGATTTTAAAGTTTATTTTGTTAGATGTGAGTATTGCTACTCCAGCTTTTTTTTTTCTTTTCCCTTTGCATGGAAATTCATTTCTTTTCCATCCCTTCACTTTCATTCTGTGTGCGTCTTTTGTTTTGAGGTGGGTCTCTGGTAGATAGCATTTAGTTGGGTCATGTTTTTGTATCCATTCAGCTACCCTACACTTTTTGATTGGAGCATTTAATCCATTTACATTTAGGGTTATCATTGAGAGGTACTTATTTATAGCTATTTTAATTCTGTATGGCTATGTGTCTCTCTGTTTCTTCTTCTCAGCAATCCCTTTAGCATTCCTTGTAATGCTGGCTTGGTGGTGATGTACTCCTTTAGTTTTTGTTTTTTTGTTTTGTTTTGTTTTGCTTTGCTTTGTTTTGTCTGGGAAGCTCTTTATTTGACCATCTATTTGGAATGATAGCTTTGCTGGATATAGTAATCTTGGTCTCAGATCCTTGCTTTCCATTACCTTGAGTACTTCATGCCATTCCCTTCTGGCATGTAGAGTTTCTGATGAGAAATCAGGTGTCAGCCTTATGGGAACTCCTTTGTAGGTAACAGTTTTCTTTTCTCTTGCTGCCTTTAAGATTCTCTCTTGGGCTTTAATTTTTGGGATTTTAATTTTGATATGTCTGGGTGTGGGTCTGTTTGGTTCTTCTTGTTTGGGGTTCTCTGTGCCTCCTGAAATTGTGTGACTTTTTCCTTTACCAGGTTAGGGAAGTTTTCTACCATTATTTCTTCAAACACCTTCTCTATTCCTTTCTCCCTTTCTGCTTCTTCTGGCACACCTACTATTCTAATATTGTTATGTTTCACATTGTCCCACATCTGCCTGAACCTGTCCTCCTTTTTTTAAATTGTTTTTCTTTTTGGTTCTCTAATTGAGTGATATTTTCAACTCTGTCTTCTAATTCACTGATTTGATCCTCAGCAGGCAAAGACTCAAAGCCTCTAGAGACCACCTCTGTCTATAGACTAATAGAATCCCAACTTGAATTGCTCCCAGGCAATCGTCCTCAGGTGTGTTGAGAGTTTTTTTCAACAGGGAGGGGCAGTTGCTTCTGCCTGGAGGCTAATTGTTACCTTTAATCTCGTAAGTGGCCAAGGGGCAAGGTGTTTTCCACTGAGCCAAACCGGGTAGGGCAAGGTGTTTTCAAATAGGGTGTGGCAACTGTCTTCCCCCAAGGCAAGACAAATGTCTGTGTGGGAAAGACGTCCTCCACTATGTCAGGGAATGACTCAGCCCAGGAAACGGGGTGTCTGCCTTCTGAGCTCTATTCCCCTAGTCCCCAGTGCTGGGTTCTGCTCTCACAGCCCCAGTTCACTTCACCCTCCCTCTGCTAGAGCACAAGGTGGATGGCTCCACAGGGAATTTTTGTGCATTGGCCCTTTAAGAGGGTGCCTGAACTTTCAGTTGCCACTCCCTGACAGACAACACCCCACTGCTTTTCACAGCTAGCTGTTATGAGGGTACCCTCCTCAGTTTGGTGCTCTCTGCTGGGGAGCCCAGCTTCAGGATTAGATCCCAGAGTTCTCAGTGGCTCCCTCCTCCCCCACACAGCTGAGATATCTCTCCAGGACTTCAGTTGCCGTCTGTGGGTGCACAGCCAGCCCTTTCACGCCTCCACCCCTCCTACCAATCTCTATGCAGTGGGTCTCCACCTTGGTCCTTGGGTATCAGGGTTCTCTCCTGTGAGTTTTCTGTTGATTTTTCAGGAAGCCTTTCCGTATTTCACTTGTAATTCCAACTTGTTCCTGGGAGCATGTCCATGCAGCATCCTCCTACTCTGCCACCATTTTTAATCTCCATCAGTTTGGGTAGTTTTAAAACTTAGTTGACTTATTTTATTTGACTAGCAAATGCATTCAGTCAAAATATCATTATGTAGGCATAATTTATATATCTCCTCACTAATATAATTATAAGTAGTTATTTGCATTCCCCAAAATATTTACTCTGCAATATAATACAGGGTGAGGCAAAAATAGGCTTAAAGTTGTGAGTGCGGAAAACAGTTTATTCTTGTATTATTATTTATTAATTATGGTATTATTTTCCATATGAACAACTGTTGACCTACTTTTGACCTATCCTGTATATTCAAACTCTAGAACTCAACATGAGACTGTATTACCTAAATTAGGTTCAGTAATGTTTTAAATAAAATAATAAAGACATGATTATCCTATATAATATCTAAAATATTTTACTAAAATGTTATGGCTAGAAAATAAAATGCTAAAACCTTCAACAACTTGTTCTGACTGGGTAGTGCAATTAGAGGTGTTGTTACTTTCTTCTTTATATCTTTTGGTACTTTCCAAATTTTCTACAACAAATATTATTCATTTTATTACACATATGTTATTTAAAACAAAGAATATTTTAGGATCCTGGAAGTAAAAATATAAATTGCACAGTGAAATTAAAGAGAAAAAGTTAGATTGGTCTATTCTCTCATTTCTCTTGACACATATAGCAAAAATGTGAAAGCTTGTGTCACCTCTGTGTTGACTACTGGTTCTAAAGCTGTTTACCCATCAGGGGAAATGGTTTTAAGTATGTGTATATCCTTCTTTGCTTCTTGATGTGATATTTTGCATTAGTGTTAATTACTTATGGATTCTATTTCATATGAATTAAATAGTATATTTTGTTAATAAACTTTCCTTTTAGAACATTTTCAGATTGCAAACAATTATGATGATAGTTTTATTTCCCATAAACTCTGTACCCAGTTGGTCTTATTATCAATGTCTTAACATTATAATACATTTGTTACAGCTAATGATCCAATATTGACATACCATTTTTAAATGAAGCCCATACTTAATTCATATTTCCTTTGTTTTTACCCAGTGTCCATTTTTTTATTGTTCCAGAGCCCCATCCAAAATACCATATTACATTTAGTTGTCAGCTCCCCTTAGGCTACTCTTACCTGTGACACTTATCAGAGGTCCCTTGTTTTTGATGACCCTCTATTGGTATTTGTCTGTGTTCTTCTCAGACAAATCATTCGCCAAACATTGTTTATGAGTGTTGGATTTAAATATGTAGACTATATGTAGATATGCCATATTTATTTATGTCAGTGAAATTACTACAGTGTTTTTTCTAACATAGCCTATTCGCTAAAATTTGTTAAAAATAATAGTGAATTAATAACTTGTTAATTTTATATGAGCAAGTCTTGGTTAAACGCATTTTAAAATTAAAAGGATATTAATTTTCACATATGAAGTAGGCACCAGAAATTTTGTTTGTTAAATCTGAAGTCCATTAAATTGAGGTCCACAAAATAGAGGGTTTACTGTGCTATCAACATGATTTACCACTGTTGATGCTTATCTTGGTCATCTGACTGAGGTTGTGTTTATCAGTTTTCTCCACTGTAATTTTTCTTTTTCTATTTTCATACTGTATCTTTTGGAAAGGAGGCACTATGCACTGTCTTCTGGAGAATTATGTGTTATTTCTTTGAGGTAAACGTAT